GGGGAGGCGTGTGTGCCCGTAAGCATGCACGTGTGCACACGGCCCGGCCCCAGCACCTTCCCGACTCGCGCACACTGAGGCCCCCACGGAGAGGACGGCCACCTCCGCCAGCCGCACCACCTGCTCCGGATGGCCTGGACTTGGGGATGGAGCGGGCAGGGGAGCCCAGAACCCTCACACTACAGATCCCCATGGTGCTGACCCCCCAGCCACGCCCGCTGCCAGGAGGGCGCCGGGTCCTCAACCTGTACAGTTTTATTGTACTGAGAGCGACTCCCCACCCCTGTATCATACACCTTTAAATGGAGTCAACTTTTTAACTATATATATAAAGAAATATATATAAATATATATAAATATAAACTTTTTAAAACTGTGAAAAAATAGCTATGAAATTATAAGGAAAACAAACACTCTGACGTGCGGAATATTATTTTTTATTTCCTGTTAGATTGTCAGTGTCCAGCACCTGCTTCACCTCCCCGGCCCCCAGCACCCCACCCGTCCCCCCTGCACTGTGCACGCCCCCAGACAGAGGAGAAGGAAGAAGGGAGAGGGAGGGGAGCCACCAGCCCAGCGCCCTCTCCATTCGCTGGGCCAGAAAGCACTTAGCCAGCCCCCGCCTTCCGGAACCAAACGGAACCGGAACCCACAGGAGGGCACCAGCAGACAATCTAGAGGGAAGGAAAAGCCAGACTTTGGTTTTGTTATTTGGGGGGAATTATTGTTTCGTTTGTTTTTTTAAGTTTCTTTTGGAATTTCGTTTGTTGGCAAATTCTGTGTGATCTTTTTTCATAAAAAAAGAAAAAAATTTAATTGGAAAAAATTTCATTGCTTGGAGTGATTTATTTCAGGGACAGGGTGGGGCCAGTGTCTGGGGCAATTGGGCCACCTTGTTTTGGGGAGCTGGGGTGTGAGGGCTGCCATTCCAGTCATTGAGCTGGGGAAACTAGAAGATGGGCCCAGCAGCTCCAATTTTACACATGTCTAGTTAATTTAAACCAGATGTGATGCACTCCCGTAATCCTGGATATGTGGGAGGCTGAGGCAGGAGAATCACAAATTAAAGACCAGCCTGGGCAATTTAGCAAGATCATATTTAAAAAAAATAGCTGGGCGTGGTGGTGCATGCCTGTAATCCCAGCACTCGGGAGGCTGAGGCAGGAGGATCGCTGTGAGTTCAAGACCAGCCTGGGCTACATAGTGAGTTCCAGATCAGGCTCAACTGCACAATGAGACCCTGTCTCCAAAAACCCAAAAAAAAAAAAAAAAAAAAAAAAAAAGGGTTGGGACTCAGGTAATAGGAGAAATCAAAAGTGTCACTAAAAGTTTGGTAGCACTGCTGTGTGTCTGGTTTCTCTAGCCAGGCACACCAGTAGCTGTAATACTGGGCAGAGAGGACACAGACCATGCCTCCTTGGCCAGGGGCCCCTGGAGGCCTCACATCTTGTTTTTCTGTAAAGGGCAGAACAAAATGCTCCCAGCTGTGACCATTCCTGGGAGAAACACTGCAGGGCTGAGGGGCTCCAAGCCCATACCTCTGGGGCCTGCAGAAGCTGGTGTGGGACCTGGCTGCCCCTGACTTAGTCAGTTTGCACAGCTGCTGATGACGTTCTGGGCTTTGCTAACTATTTCAGGTTGAAGAGGCTATGCAGGGAAGGCAGCACAGGAAAGGATTGTGTGGCGGAGAAACAGGTGCAGGTGGGCGCCTCCAACCTAAAGAGCGGCACTCTGGCGCCACCTAGTGGCAGTCTCTGACACTGCCCTGTGGTTTTGGTACACTTGGTACCCACCTGTGTCCCTGAGGCTACAGGTCTGGACCTTACGTGGCCCTCTGGCCCTCCTTCTAGGGACCCATATTCCAGTCCAACTATATGGGAAACTGGGGTACAAAACGGTAGCAATTTAAATTGCACAAGTCAACGGCAGAATATGAGTCAGAAGGCTCAGTTCCTAGGATGGGGATTCCTTCCAGCTTGTTTTCCACCACCGGCTGGGTGCAGCTGTTTGCCCAGATCCTCTCACTAAAGTGGCACCTGCTACAAATCCCAGTGCTCTGCTCCCCGCCTCACGGAGCCCCAGCACCCCTGCAGCCCAGCAGTCTCGACAGTCCCAGCCTTGCACACCAACAAACACTTCCTGGGAGGTGTGGTAGGCCACTCTCAGCCACCGTCCTTTAATGGCCAGTGTGGTACAGTTAGAGGACACACAGGTGGACGGGACACAGCAGGTGAGGGGACCGCACGGTCACAGCTAGGGCTGGGGACACGGGTCTGGTACTGTCCCTGGGAAAGCTGTCTTTGGCAGGATGCCCTGGAGTCCGCCTGGTGGCTGGCAGTGACCCCAGCCTTCCTGACGTGGCATGGACTTTCAGGCACACGTGTCCCTCCCTGAAGCCCCACTGGATGGGGCGTGGAAAGGAAGCCAAGCTTGGGTTGAGGTGACCTTGGAGGAACTGCTTTGTGGCCCCCAAATTCAGCCCCCTCTAGTGCCGGGGTCAGGCTGAGGGGACTGGAGAGGCAAGACGGGCCCAGCAGATGGAGCCCCAGGCTTGGGTTAGGGGACGCTCACAAGCCAGCTGCACTGCTGGGGACACTGAGGTCAGGCCACCATCCTGCCACAGCAGATGCGTGTTCAGTGCTCAAGGACGGGCGGTTCGAGGGTGACGGGCTGGGGACTGCACCACTCTACGAGGGCCAGACGGAGGGCCCTCCCCAACTGGGCTGGTGGACAGCGATGAGCAAGGGGCCCTGCGGTGGGCACGCTCAGGTTCTGTCATTCTGCACAGGGGCCCACTGAGCGCTGGCCTGACTCCAGCCAGGGCCACCGGACACAGATGTGGTAGACGGTGCGTGGGACACAGTGCTAGGCAGGGCCCTGGGTCGCAGAGATGTGGCCCAGGTGGCCAGATGGCTAAATCCAGAGAGGTGAGGCCACTGGCATAGGAGGAGGCTGGCTCAGGTCCCGAGGCACCGCAGGCAGCCAGGCAGCCTCCCCGGGCAGGGGCAGGGGCAGCTAGCAGGGCTCATGGCCCTGTGGGGAAGGACCCGTTGGTGGTGGCGGTGCGGAAGCAGGTGCTGTGGGCATCGCGGGTGAGGCTGTAGGTGCAGTAGGCCACAGCGGAGCCCAGCGTCAGCCCCGACATGTAGGACACGGTCATGGTGTTCCCTGTGGGTTACGGAGGCCTAAGCAGCTGGCACGGCAGCCACGTGAGCCAGGCCAGGCTGTGCTGGCTGAACCTGAGGCCATCGTGTGCAGTGCAGGGACAGGGCCGGCCCAGGAGCCTACGATGCATGCGCTCACCACCCCCAGCACGTGCTGTCCCTCCAGGCGTGACCTCCCTCAGCCTGACCCTCTTCCACTGGGGCCTTCCCCCTCCCGCTTCTCTGCCCCGGTGACCTTGTCAGGGACAACCTGGGAGTCTGATGCGCACCTCCAACGTATCAGTGCCTACCGACCCCTCCCTGTCTCAGCTGACAGTGATGCCAACCTCCTCTGCCGCCTCCTCCTCCTTTTTGGGGGTGGTGTTACTGGGGATCAGACCCAGGACCGTTACACTAAGCTCCATCTCCCTCATTTTGTTCTTCTCTTCTCTCTTTCTTTCTTTCTTGGTACCAGGGATTGAACTTGGGTCCTTGTGCTTTCAAGGCAGGCGGCGGAACCACTGAGCTAAATCCCCAGCCCTTTTATTTTTATTTTGAGGCAGGGTGCAAGATGCCCAGGATGAGCTTGAACTTTCCATCCTCCTGAGTTCTGGGATCACAGTCACAAGAGCCGCTGTTCTCTTGTCCACAGTGCTCAGAGTGGACCCTAAACATGGCAGTACCCCTCAACTCTCTTACACCTCATCTGTCATCGTCAGCTGGCCCTGTGGGCTCTGCTGTCAAAACAGATCTGAAATCCAGCACCACCTCCCGGCTCCATGATAGCACTCACACTGGGTGATATCTGTTGTTTCAGGCCTGTGTGGCTGCAGCAGCTCCTCAATCACAGGTTCACCCCCTCCACCGCTGTGCTTGGCTTTGGTACACATGCCTGCTTCAGCCTCAGGGCCTTTGCACATACCATCCCTTCCTTGAGGGTTCCTCTTCCCTTGCAACTTTTTTTTCCAGTACTGGGGTTCAAACTCAGGACCTTGCACTTGCCAGGTAGGCACAGCACCACTGAGGTCCAACCCTGGCTCTCCCTTGAATCTTCACATGGCTGGCTCCTTCACTATTTTCTCCTAGCCTACTCAAAAACCACCACCTTGGAAGGCCAGGCATTTAGCTAAGTGGTGCTGTCACCTGCCTCACAAGCAAGCATAAGGTCCTGAGTTCAATCCCCAGTACAAAAAAAAAAAAAAAAAAAAATTATACTAAACCACCACCTTGGTGAGGCCTTCCAAGATCGCTACTGTTTACATTGTGAACCTCCAACCTACTGCTGCACCCTGCTGCTCCCATTTCTTTTTTTAAAATTCACTACATAGCCCAGGGTGGCCTTGAACTCACCATGATCCTCCTGCCTCAGCCTCCTGAGTGCTGGGATTACAGGTGCGTACCTGCCTCTATTTATCCACCTTTCGTTTCCTCACAGTACTCACCCCCATGTACGATCACGTCTGTCTGTCACCTGGATTTATTGGCAGTCACGTCTCTGGACTGTGGTCCCACAACTGCGGGGAGTCCGTGTTCCCAGTGCTGGGACAGTGCCCAGCACAAAGGAGCATCTCCCCAAGGAGGTGCAGAATGAATGAATGCGCCGGTGGACCGATACCCCCAGATGTGCCTGCAGCTGCCCACTGGGGCTCCTCCTGGCTCAGTTTCCCCGCCGCCCCCAGGGCATGGCCTTACCTGCCAGCTCGCGCTGCCGGGGGCTCACTTTGCCGGCCGCCAGAATCATGGGCACACTGCCGAAGTAGCCGTTGCTGATGCCCATGAGCAGGGAGAAGACACAGGGCCAGGCTGGGTGGCGGAGGGCGGGCGCCCCGCTGGGGTAGACGCACAGGATGAAGAGGGGGATGAAGACCACGCGCAAGCAGGAGCAGGCCAGCAGGTGGGTGCCCCGCCAGTCCACAGGCAGGGCGGCCAGGATCTGCGGGGATTGGGCATGTGGGTCCCCGGGTGCCTGTGCTCAGCTCTGCCTGTGTCCTTGACCTCTCCAGTTGCCCAAGAGCCTCCAAATCCACGCAGTCTGGGCTGGGTGACGGCACCCAGCCCAATATCACCCATTTCCCGATAATACTCACGGTGCTCTCAGGAGGCGGGACTGTGACTCCCTTTGGGAAATGGGGTCACAGGACTTGAATCCCCTCATCAAGCAGCTGGACAGTAGCAGGACTGGGTTTGGACCCATGGACACAGCTGTGCTCCCCTGAAACCCACAGACTCTTTTCTTGAACCTCTCTGCTATGTGACCCCAGGGAAATGGCTGGCCCTCTCTGAGCTCTTAGGCCTCCTTCCCATCCCAGACCTGTAAGAATTACCAGCGCTCACCGTTAGCCCTGTATGCAGATGAGACTGGTGATACGCTTTGGCTCTGGGCCCCTGCCATCTCGGGGACTTGGGCAGGAGCTCAACCCACTGCCTAGGACAGCGGTCAGCTGACACTTGGGAGCTACCCCGTGGGACCCGGTTGGGGCGCCCTCCAGGGGATGCCGCAGGGGACCGGGCCCTGGGTGGGGGCCATTCCCGGCCAGAAGCTCGTGCAGGCCCGCACACCCACCTTGCCCACGAAGTCCGAGAGGTTGAACACGGCCATGACCAGGATGGGCAGCCACTCGCCCAGCACGCAGTGGCGGATTTCCGACTCCAGGCCGGGGAACAGGCACAGCGTGATGAAGTAGGTTACCGCGATGGACAGCATGTCGGCCCAGATGACCCGCGCCACCACGTAGCGGTGCAGCAGGAGGGCTGGGGACACGGGCAGGTCAGAGGGCGGCGCCGCAGAGGCCCTGGTGCCATCTGCGCGTGGGCACCAC